GAAATCGCTACGTTCTGGTAGCCATGGACTATTTCACCAAGTGGCCAGAAGCGTACACGATCCCGGATCAAAGCGCTGCATCTACAGCTCAGCGGTTGGTGGACGAGATGTTCTCTCGTTTTGGAGTACCTGAGGAGCTGCACAGCGATCAGGGGAGAAACTTTGAGAGCCAGCTGTTCGGTGAGGTGTACCGGCAGTTGGGGTGACAAAGACTAGAACCACTCCGTTGCATCCCAGAGTGACGGGCTGGTGGAATGGTTTAACCACACTCTGGCGACTCAGCTGGCGATCCTCACCAGCAAACATCAGAGGGACTGGGATTTACATTTGCCTATGGTGTTGTGGGCGTACCGCACTGCAGTGCAAGAGTCCAGCCAGAGCACTCCTGTGGCGCTGATGTTCGGGAGGGAGCTCCGGACGCCAGTGGATCTGGTGTTTGGACCGGCTCCAGAACCAGGGATTGTGGGGGGCGCCCGAACTGGATTATGCGCAACTCCTAAAGGAGCGGATGGAAGAAGTCCACCAGCTGGCCCGGACCACCCTGCTAGTGGGTGCAGAAGTGGGCGTATGACTCCAGAGCTCATGGACCCTCACTGGCTTTGGGGGACAAGATTTGGGTCTACTGCCCGACCCGGAAGAAGGGTCTGCCCCCAAACTGATGAGCCACTGGCAAGGACCCGCAGAAATTTTGAACAGATCTCTGCGGTGGTCTTCCGGGTTTGCCTGCCTGGACGAGGTAGGCGGGTGGTCCTCCACAAGGACTGTTTGGTGCCGTACCGGCCACAGACCGAGGGGCAACCGGCTGCTGATGGGGCTGTGGATGGACTTGGGGGAGGGGGGGAACGGTGAGACCAGGGAGGCCAGTGTGCAATGCGGCCGGCACTCTGGGGGAAGGGTAAATTGGGTTTGTTTATTCCGCTTGTGGTGTTTTGGGGGTTATATTGTTCGGGGTCATGTTAGTGTTGTTTGTTTCAGTTTGTTGTTCACGCTGTGTTGTTCTTATCTGGTGCCTGTTGGCACCGTGAGTTAACTGTATGTGTGGGGGGATGAAAAGGGGAGCCATCCGGCCATTAAAAGTGTTCTATGTCTGCTACCTGTTGACTCTTCTGTGCTGCTTCACACGCACATCGCTAGAGGGCGGCACAGACCGCCACAGTATCTATTTATCTATATCTATTAGGGATGAGCCGGATATTTGTTTCAGATGAGTATCCGGTACGGATAAAACATTTTTGACGAATACGAGCATGAAACAAGTAAAACTCGTAAATATCTGTAATCGTGCTGAAGGAAAATCCTCATTGGGTAACTGGCTGTCTTCACGCTCTGTGATTGGCCAGTCACATATGGGCGCCCGCCCCTCCCTACACACAAAACTTTGCAGCCGGGAGCTCAGTCCATCCGGCTCTTCAATGCACACACACACAGAAAGTAACGGATCGCTCTGTGCTTGCTTCACTTTTGCTCACGTTTCTTCAGAACTCCCTAGGTTTTCGTCAGCTTGCTTCTTTTTCGGTTGAATATTTAAAGTAACTTTTTTCGTAACTTGCGGGGTGCATTTGACAAGACAGAGCTGACGTGCTTCATCAGTCACTGTCTCCGCTCCAGTTGGGTTTTTTAAATGTTTTAACTCTCTCTCTCTCCCTCTCTCTCTCTCTCTCCCTCTCTCTCTCTCTCTTCCTCTCTATTTCTCACACACACACCTTAATCAACATTGTTTTGTTTAACTTTGTGTGGGAAAAATGTGAAGAACGTTAAGAAAAAATTCAGTTTAATCAAATTAAAATTTAAAAAAATATATAAAGTTGTGTCTGGTTCTAGCATTTCATATTTCCTAGTTCCCACTGCATGAGTTCAAATGTATTAATTCATGCACTTAATCATCAATGTTCTGATTTGATTGAAAAACTTGTTCTGTAATAGTTTCTTTACTATTGTGATCAAATTTAATCTTCAGTTCTGAGGCTGCTCTGTAAATAGTTTTCAAATAAACAATACACATAGCAACTTCTGATCAATCCATATCAATTTCAGACTTAAATAATGTATTGATGTAAACCACACCCACTTCAGGTTAAACCACGCCCAATTCCGGGGTATGCCACGCCCACTCGGAGTACAGATACAGATAATTTAGATGGTTGAACAGATACAGATAGTGGTGTACTCGCTCATCCCTATCATCTATCTATCTATCTATCTATCTATCTATCTATCTATCTATCTATCTATCTATCTATCTATCTATCTATCTATCTATCTATCTATCTATCTATCTATCTATCTATCTATCTATCTATCTATCTATCTATCTATCTATCTATCTATCATCTATCTATCTATCCATCTATCTATCTATCTATCTATCTATCTATCTATCTATCTATCTATCTATCTATCTATCTATCTATCTATCTATCTATCTATCTATCTATCATCTATCTATCTATCATGTATCTATCTATCTATCTATCTATCTATCTATCTATCTATCTATCTATCATGTATCTATCTATCTATCTATCTATCTATCTATCTATCTATCTATCTATCTATCTATCTATCTATCTATCTATCTATCTATCTATCATCTATCTATCTATCATGTATCTATCTATCTATCTATCTATCTATCTATCTATCTATCTATCTATCTATCTATCTATCTATCTATCTATCTATCTATCTATCTATCTATCTATCTATCTATCATGTATCTATCTATCTATCTATCTATCTATCTATCTATCTATCTATCTATCTATCTATCTATCTATCTATCTATCTATCTATCTATCTATCTATCTATCTATCTATCTATCTATCTATCTATCATGTATCTATCTATCTATCTATCTATCATGTATCTATCTATCTATCTATCTATCTTTCTATCTATCTATCTATCTATCTATCTATCTATCTATCTATCTATCTATCTATCTATCTATCTATCTATCTATCTATCTATCTATCTATCTATCTATCTATCTATCTATCTATCTATCTATCTATCTATCTGTCTATCTATCTATCTGTCTGTCTGTCTGTCTGTCTGTCTGTCTGTCATCTATCTATCTATCTATCTATCTATCTATCTATCTATCTATCTATCTATCTATCTATCTATCTATCTATCTATCTATCTATCTATCTATCTATCTATCTATCTATCTATCTATCTATCCATCCATCTATCTATCTATCTATCTATCTATCTATCTATCTATCTATCTATCTATCTATCCAATTCAATTCAATTCAAGTTTATTTATATAGCGCCATATCACGACAAGAGTCGTCTCAAGGCACTTCACATAATAAACATTCCAATTCACAGTTCATTAAGCCAATCAGAAATAATGTGTCCTATATAAGGAACCCAGCAAATTGCATCAGGTCACTGACAAGTGTCAGTGACTATACAGCAATCCTCATACTAAGCAAGCATGCACCGACAGTGGAGAGGAAAACTCCCTTTTAACAGGACAAAACCTCCAGAGAATCCTGGCTCAGTATAAGCAGCCATCCTCCACGACTCACTGGGGATCGAGAAGACAGAGCAGACACACACGCACGCACGCACACACACACACACACACACACACACACACACACACACACACACACACACACACACACACACACACACACACACACACACACACACATAAATAGTAACAGCACAAGAAGACATCAACGACAGTCCCCCCCCCCCCACCACCACCACCCACACACACACACAGATGATCGTGATAATACTATGAAGGACCAACTGCATCATGTCCTCTCCTCATGTGGACTTTATTTTATTTTATAGATCAAGTTTAAAATGCAAATTATAGGAAGAACTGACTGGTGTGAAATCTTCTGGCTTTAACATTACACATGCAGCACGACAAGCCCACAATCTGTATTTCATGATTCCCAGTTGAAGAGCTGAAAATATCAGACAATTTTACTGCTAGAGCTGGGTGTTGTTTCATTGGTTCAAATGCTGATTTAGAAAACACTGCACGAAAAATGTCATTACACCAAATCACAGGTTAGTTTTTAAAAATAATGTCTCCTTTTCTTCCACAAACATTTCTCTTTGTTAAGCGAAATTCATTTTTAGTGGTTCATATTTCACTTTCAAAAACTTTAACCTGGTTTCAAAACGATTTCTTGTCTAATTGCTTTTGCTATTAATATGTAAGTGTTGTTGGTAAAATAAATAAATAAATAAATAAATAAATAAATGCAATAAATACACATAATTCATGATTTGGATGACTCTGTTTGGTCCAGAAGAAAAGTTTGTCTAAAACAGTTTGAAGGTTTTCATTGTTTCCAGGTGAAAACAATAGTGATGGAAATACCTGTTTGTTTAAACAAACTTGTGCCTTGGCTAACTAAGAACTGTCTCCTTTGGTCCTCAAGTTCAGCTTTTTGTTGTTAATAACCAAAAATTATGTAAAAAATAGGATGCAAGACATTGTGTGAAATGTTTGTTTATATGGTTATCATACTCAGCATGGAGCAAGGTGCTAAAGAAAATACATTTTAAGGCACAAAATTAAAATCCCCCTTCCAAATTGAATGTGCTCTTCTCTCACTTTTACCTTCCCATCTCCCTCTAGTCTGTTTCACTCTCTCTCGGGGTGTGTGTGTGTGTGTGTGTGTGGGGGGGGGGGGGCTGTGCCTAAAACTCCCACCCCACCCTCATCTATCATGCTCCATGACGAATCATGTAAACATAGAGTGGAAATAATTGGTGATGATCTGTGTCTGATGAGTCACTTCACTAAGAGCCATTATGTCTCCCGCCAACACTTTTCTAGGCCACAAGTAGCAAGGCTTACCGAGGGTCCAGCAGCCTGCTAAATAAATACATAAAAGTAGTTTTCCTCTGTGTTTTAAACACATATCTCTAGTCGTTAGCTACAGTCACAGCCCTAATAGATGTGGGCAATATAGGATGTTACTCCCCTCGAGTCTTAATAAAGCTCAACTTGTTCTTTGGTTTTTACTGACATTTATTTCGGACAGGAGGATTCTTCGACATGTCTTAACATGTAATGATGTCCAACCACAGCCGATACAATGCCGTCAGAACTAAAAAGAAATACAAACTTAAATGAATATTCTTAATAAAGTCCTTAAGCATTATATGACGAACATGTCAACAAATAGATCAATAAAATACACGTTACACTTAACACTGCGGTAACTGCACTAGAATATCACGCAAATCTACATAATTTACATATACAACGATAATAAACAAAAGAAAACATTTACCTCATTGGCCTCACTCAAAGGGAATAAACTTTAATCCGTACACCGTGAGGTAGTCCAAAAAAGGCACTCTTTATTTAACTTACTGCAGACGTACAACCTCGTGGCTCGTCTCTTAATTGCTTGCTGAGTGTGCCAAGAAAAATGCCCCCTTAGCAACAATGGATGGAACTATAGAAAAGGTTCCCATCTAATTGCACAGTTAACACAAATACACATTTAAACATATAAATCTAATGAACAGAATATGAATTACTATTGAAATATTATTTCTCAATCTTTGAACTACTAATTGTTTCAACATTAAATCCAATAAAATGAACTTAAATGCTAGAGTTGCCTTTGACGGCAGCTACACTCCCACCAATCACTTGTGATTTTACCCATGAACTTATGAAATGTACACTAATCTGCTTCTAACAATGTCACAGTTTTGTGTATAGGTCTGTCAAGTAGAACTGGTTTACTCAGTCTCTTTCCATGATCATCTAGCAATGAGTCACTCATTAACAGTTGTACTTTGCGTATACATCCATCTTCACTCGGGTGTATGGCAACAACTTTGGCCAACTTCCAGTCGTTTCTCGATGCTTGGTCATCTTGTACGATCACTATGTCATTGACCTTCGCATTTCTGTTTGTTTTGTGCCACTTTTGTCTTTGTTGTAGGCTCAATAAGTACTCTTTCTTCCATCTGTGCCAAAACTCATTGGCCAAGTACTGGACTCTACGCCATCTTTTGCGAAGATACAAATCTTCCTTTACAAAGTCTCCTGGTGGTGGCAGTATTACTGACGACTTCATGGTCAACAGAAGATTAGGTGTAAGTGGCTGAGGTCCAGTAGGATCGTTGAGTAGATGTGGAGTAATAGGTCTGCTGTTAACTATCGCCATCACTTCATAAAGATAGGTTCTTAGTGATGAACTGTCCAATGATCTGGATGACTGATCCAGAATGGTTGTCAATACACTTCGGATCGTACGAATTTGCCTTTCCCAGGCTCCACCCATATGACTGGCAGAGGGAGGATTCATCACAAACTCGCAGCCTAGCTGTTTCAGACTTTCCTGATCCATTTCCTTTACTGCTTCCAGAAACTCACGTCTGGCTCCAACAAAATTGGTGCCATGATCGGACTGCAACTGACGTACATTCCCACGCAAAGCGATGAAAGAACGCAGTGAGTTTAGAAAAGCGTCGGTTGACATGTCATCGAGTAGCTCTATGTGCACTGCACGAGAGCATAGACAGGTAAACAGAAGCCCGTAACGCTTCAGTTCTTTTCTTCCTTCTTTAATGTAGTACGGGCCGAAACAATCCATCCCACAATACGTGAAGGGAGGAGTTGTCTCCATTCTCTCACTTGGTAGGTTTGCCATCTTTTGTTCTTCTGTTCGACGTCTGAATTTCCTGCACTTAATACAGTTGTGGATAAAGGATGATACTGCTTGACTGCATCCTAGTATCCATATTCCATTTGATCTCAGCTCATTCATCGTCATGCCCCGTCCTTGATGTTTCACCCGCTGATGATAGTGATCAATCAGTAACTTTGCGATATGGCAAGTCTTTGGTAAGATGACTGGGTGCTTGACATGTGGCTCCAAAGTAGAACGCTCTAATCTACCTCCAACTCTAAGAACATCCTTCTCATCCAGGAAGGGATCGAGTCGATAGAGTCCATTTGTTCTGTCCTTGGGTAGATCCTTTTGCATTTGAAGTGCTTTGATTTCCTTGCAAAAGACTGATCCTTGTACAATGGATATGATTTTAAGCTCGGCCTCTTTCCTTTCTTCAAGGTTAGTGGCTTTATTGCTTCTCCTTTCCAAGCCCTTTAACTCTTTCACAAATCTGAGAAGTCTTGCCATAGCTTTAACCAACCTTGACCAACTGGAGAATTTCCGAAAACGTTCTGCCAAAGAATCTGTTTCCGTAGTTGTATGGAGTACACCAGCTTTGCGTACTTCTGGATCCTCTGCATCAAGTTTACCCACCTTGACTTCTTCGAGGGGAAGTTTCTCTTGCCAAAGAAAACTTGGACCGCTGAACCAGTTGGAGGCAATGAGGTCTTTGGCCTTCAGTCCGCGCGACGCATGGTCAGCTGGATTAAGATCTGATGCCACAAACTTCCATTGCATCGGTTGAGTGCTTTCCTTAATACGCTGAATGCGATTTGCAACGAAAACATGGAAACGTCTTGCATCATTGTTGATATATCCCAAGACAACTTGAGAATCTGTCCAGAAGGATTCTTGAGCATCTTCGAGCTCCAACTCTGCTTTGAGCATGTCCCTAATCCGCACTGCTACAACTGCTGCAGACAGCTCTAATCTTGGAACCGTAGTAACCTTCGTGGGTGCTACTCTGGACTTGGCAAAGACAAGAGAGCAGTGGACTTGTCCAGCTTCACTGACAGCTCTCAGGTACGTACAAACACCATACCCTGAAACACTTGCGTCTGAGAAATGGTGAAGCTCGTACTTCTGAACTGTTTGAAAATCTCTGGGCAGGTAACATCTGTCAATCTTGACATCTGCTAGATTTTTTAGATCCAACAACCAGCACTCCCACCGTGACTTCAGATCGCTTGCGAGTGGTTCGTCCCAATCTGCTTTCTCACGACACATCTGCTGTAGTATCTGCTTCCCAAGTAGAACAAAAGGTGCCACAAAGCCAAGTGGATCGTAAATGGAGGCTACTGTGGACAACACTCCTCTTCTGGAAAGTGGCTGCTCATTCACAACTACTCGAAACTGGAAATGATCCGAGTCAATGCACCATTTGACACCTAGGGCTCTTTCAATTTGTTGCTCGCCCAGTGACAAGTCTTTTCTCACTGTATCTGCACAATCTTCTTCCGGCAGCGAATGAAGTACTTGCTTACTGTTTGAAACGAACTTATGAAGTCGCAAGCCTCCTGTGCTGCAAAGTTCCTTTGCTTCCTTCACCAAATGAATTGCCTCATCTTCTGAGTGGAAACTGATAAGACCATCGTCCACATAAAAATTTCTCTCAATGAACCTTATGGTAGCTTCACTGAACTTGCCTTGACCTTGTGCAGCAATATACTTGAGACCAAAGTTTGCACAGGCAGGGGAAGAAGCAGCTCCAAACAGGTGTACGCGCATGCGATAAACAGATGGAGTAGAGTTGAAGTCTCCGTTGTCCCACCACAAGAAGCGAAAGTAATCTTGATCTTCTTCTCTGACTCTGAATTGATGGAACATGCGCTCAATGTCGCACATCACTGCAACTGGACCTTTCCGAAATCGACACAGGACCCCCATCAGAGAGTTGGTTAACTCTGGCCCTGTAAGCAAGTAGTCGTTCAAGGAAGCTCCCTCGTACTTTGCTGAACAATCAAACACCACTCTTATCTTGCCAGGATTTTGTGGATGATACACCCCATGGTGTGGAATGTACCAGGCAGGGCTTTTGTCCAGGTCTACAGAGGGAACTCTTTCAGCATCACCACGCTCTATAGTCTCTCTCATGAACTCTGTGTAGTCTTTGTGGTATTGCTTGTCCTTCTCAAATCTTCTTTTCAAATATTTGAGTCTGTGTTCAGCACAACTCCGGTTGTTTGCCAGACTTGGTCTGTCTTGCTTAAATGGCAAAGGTAACTCACAGTGTCCATCTGATTTCATCTTCACTCCTTCTTCCAATATGGAGATGAACCTCAAATCTTCTTGAGAGAAGTGTGAGTCTTCCACCTTTCTTTCATTGAAATCGGACTCGAGCACCTTAATTACATCTGCGGATGTGACCACCTCTTTGACTTGTGTGCGACAGATGTATCGCACTTCTTTGACCAACTGCTTAGCTGACTGATTAGGTGTCACTTCCTTGACAATGATTTTGTGGCTACATCCTATGGCATCCCCATAGTCAACACATGGATTAGTTCCTCCTACTATTGTCCAGCCAAGGTCTGTTCTTTGGGCAAAAGGTTCATTATCTTCTCCTGCCACAACTTCTCTGGGTACCAACACTTGTGAGCAATTGTAACCAATGAGCAGGCCTACTTCACATTCAATCAGTGGAGCGATTTCTTCAGCCAGGTGCTCTAAGTGTGGCCACGCTCTTGCTGTCCTTTGTGTGGGAATATGACTCAAATTCGCAGGAATAAACTCTCTTGTGTATGTCACAGGAAGCGGAATTCTCCTTGAAGAATAGAAACCTCTGACCTGTAATCCAAACAACCGTTGACTTGGTACTAAAGTATCTTTAGAAGACATTGTCGAGAGCTTTAACTGCACACATGTCTTCTCTGCATCTAGAGCTTCTGCCTTTTCTTCCAAGACGAATGTCGTGTCACTTTGGCTGTCAAGAAGAGCATAGAGAAGAATCTCATGTTCAGGATTGCTTATTGTGGATAACCAAACTGGAATGATTGTAGATGTGAGATTACTTCTGTCACTTTGAATCACACGGTTTGATATTGCTTCACTTGGTGCTTCCTTGGGTTTGGTTTCTCTACTCTCTTTCATTTGTGGTTCCTTGTCACTTTCTTCCTCTTTCCTTTTCCTTGAGGATTTGTCTCGTTCTTCATGTAAACATGTCGGGTGTTTCCCTTTACATGTGTCACACATCTTTCTCTTTTCACATTTCTTGGATTGGTGTCCAAAGCCTAGACATCCAAAGCACAGTCCCCTGGTTTGCACAAACTTGACTCTTTCACTCAAGACCTTGTCCATAAACTTCCTACATGTGTGAATGCTATGATTTGAGTTTTCACAAAACACACATTTTTTTGTGTTGGACGTCTCTTCTGCAGCACTCACTAGCACCTTTACTCCAACACTTCTTGTCTTGGATGATTTCATTTTCTCTGAGTCACCTGCTTTGAGTGCATGAAGCGATGTTACTGGATTGCACGCAATCTTGGCCTCTCTCGCAATGAAGTCAACAAAGTGGTTAAATGTTGGAAAAGAACCATCTTGCTCTTCAATTTCAATGACCTTTCGATTCCATCTTGCTGACAACCAATCAGGTAGCTTGCTTAGCATTCTCTGATTCTCATGGCAGTCGTTCAAAACTTCAAGACCTTTAACCTGAAGCATGGCCGCTTCACATCCTCTGAGGAAATCTGAAAATTCTCGAAGTTCAATGCTATCCTTGTTACCAATCCTTGGCCATGATGTCAACTTATCTCTGAAAGCTTTGGTGATTACAAATGAACTTCCGTATCTTTCCTCCAAAATATTCCATGCTGAGTAATAAGCATGCTCTGTTCCCAACAGAAAATAACTCTCAACAGCCTTTCGCGCCGGTCCTCCAACATACTTGCGAAGATAGTAAATCTTTTCATTCACTGGGATGTTCTTTCTGTCTATCAGCATTTGAAACGACAATTTCCAATCATTGTACTTGAGAGGATCTCCGTTGAAGACTGTAGGTTCTGGTACTGGCAGGCGACTTATGTGAATGGACTCAGCTAGAGCTTGGGCCAATGTTATGGTACTATCTTCATGTTTGCTTTCTCTTGTTTGTGCCCTTGAGTTGGCTTGTGGCATATCAAACGGCTCTGCATTTGCATTAAGTTGCAAATGTGCAAACTGATTATTCGGTTTGGATGTGACATTTCTCCGTTTACTCCTTTCGTGCAGAATGTCTGATATTTCTTCATCTGAGTTTCCTTCCTCATTGTACACTTTCAGACGTGCTTTAGCAGCATTCATTTTCTTTACTGTTTCTAGCCTTTCAAGCTCTCTTCGCTTTTGCTCTAAGGCCTTCTGTTTCTCAGCATTCTCTGCTTCAAGGACTTCAAGTGCCTTTCTTTCACTTTCCATTTCCTCCATGATCTTCAGAGTTGCTTCAGTAGCCGCAAGCTCTGCAGCTGCTTCTTGCCTCTTTACAGACAACTTACTTGAGCTTCTTGATTGCCTGCTATTTGAACTCTTGGATCTTTGAGAGGTCGCAGAATTGAATGATGATCCTTTATCACTCCAGTGAACTAATATCTCAGAAAGTTCTTCGTCTTCTTCTGCTGCTAATTTTTCTTGAGTTAGCCTTATGATCTTCTGCGAAACCGCATTACAGGTATCCACTCTGCGGCGAGTATCTGCATCAGGAGTTTCATGACTGCGCAGCTCATCATAAACTTGTTTCACTTCTGCCGAGGCATATTCGACTCGGTCAATAAGCTCTTTAAGTTTTGCACTAACAGGTTCCTCAAGTGTCTTTTTGCCTTGTTTTGCAACAACTTTCCACCTATCATAACAAACTTTAAAGCAAGCTTGAAGCTTGTTCACCTTTTCATCATGTAGTGCTTGGCCCTTTTCAGTGAACCTCTTAACTCTTTGACTTTTCCTCAAACTTCCTTCTTTAGTAGCTTTACTTGTGCATGGTTCTTGCAAACTTTCTTGCTCTTCAAAAGCTTCTTGCTGCTCCACAGTTTCAGTGTTACAGCCTTCTTGCTCCATGTCACAGGCAGTCAAAGGTATAATACTGAATTCACAAGTCACCTAGGTCCACTTAAACACGTGAATGGTCACCTTATGAAGCACCTAAGAACTTTAAATTGCTTTACTTTAAAGAGTCTGCTTAAATATATGTCACCATCACTTAAACCAAATAATAAATTGTTCTTCACTTGTAGTTTAACAGAAAATAACCTTCAAAGTCAAACAAAATACTATAATGTGACCTTTAAATATCTAATGCAGTCTTAAAAATAAGCAAACCCTTATAATCAACTTAAACGTGCCTTAATTGCAGTTATTTAACATGAACAACTAATAACATGAACTTAAACTTTTACTCTCAACCACCACACTTTCCCTTTCACTGCTTGACAGAGTCCTTCAAAGATGAGCTAAAGAAATCTTCTCTCCACATTTAACTTGTATAAACGTGTTACTTATTTCTAGCTTAACAAGCTGCACCTCTGGACTCTGGTTGCCTTATGGGATGTCTGTGTGTGTGTGTGTGTGTTTGGGTGTCTTTGATGCTTGAGAGCGAGACGCGATCTTAATCACGTGACCCAGTGCGCTGTCGGCTCAGCTTCGCTCCCACTCGGCTCCGCTCGCTCAGCTGTCGGCTCGGCTCTGCTGCGGCAGACTTCTTTCTCCTTCTCTCTCCTCCAGCACGAAGCAGGCTGAGTTCTGACTGTTACTCCCCTCGAGTCTTAATAAAGCTCAACTTGTTCTTTGGTTTTTACTGACATTTATTTCGGACAGGAGGATTCTTCGACATGTCTTAACATGTAATGATGTCCAACCACAGCCGATACAATGCCGTCAGAACTAAAAAGAAATACAAACTTAAATGAATATTCTTAATAAAGTCCTTAAGCATTATATGACGAACATGTCAACAAATAGATCAATAAAATACACGTTACACTTAACACTGCGGTAACTGCACTAGAATATCACGCAAATCTACATAATTTACATATACAACGATAATAAACAAAAGAAAACATTTACCTCATTGGCCTCACTCAAAGGGAATAAACTTTAATCCGTACACCGTGAGGTAGTCCAAAAAAGGCACTCTTTATTTAACTTACTGCAGACGTACAACCTCGTGGCTCGTCTCTTAATTGCTTGCTGAGTGTGCCAAGAAAAATGCCCCCTTAGCAACAATGGATGGAACTATAGAAAAGGTTCCCATCTAATTGCACAGTTAACACAAATACACATTTAAACATATAAATCTAATGAACAGAATATGAATTACTATTGAAATATTATTTCTCAATCTTTGAACTACTAATTGTTTCAACATTAAATCCAATAAAATGAACTTAAATGCTAGAGTTGCCTTTGACGGCAGCTACATAGGAGAAGCCAAAACATTGTTTTTGCGTACTTTACCGGAGCCACAGAGCAAGGCTGTTTGTTCCAGGCAAAGTCCAGTTTTTTTACCCAAAAGAAAAATGGTACAGCTGTTGTGAAAGGACGAAGAAACTTCTTAGAGTTCATTCTTCACTGAAGAAAAATGGAGTCTCTGTTACAAATCTGAACTACATCATTCTTCTGTCCTTCCATTTTCACAATTTTATCTCAGTCCGAGTTGCGGGGGGAAAGCTCCAGCAGAAAGGCCTAAACCTGCCTTTTCTCAGAAACCTCCACCATCAGCATATCCAGGCTCGTCCTGGCCAACATGAAGATCGAATCCCTGGGTTGATGAGGGCCGACTGGCGATAGGACATGCCTGAAGCTCCTCTATTGGGAAGAGTCCAGTATTCTCCTGAAACGCCCATTACACCTGAGCTGGCTCCTATGGAGGAGCAGCGACTCTACTCTAAATCTTTCCCAAAGAAGCTCTTCATCCTATCTCTATGGCTGAGCCCGGCCAATCGATGGAGGAAACTCATTTGGCAGCTTGTAATTTTGAGCCTGTTGTTTTGGTCTATACCCACAGCTCATGACTACAGATGAGGACCAGGATGAATATCGCCCACTAACTTGAGAGCTTTGCTTTCTGGCTTGGCTCTTATTCTCCACAACAGACCAGTTTAGCAGCAGCATCACTGCACTCTGCCCCAATTTGCCTGTCCATCTCCCACTCCCTCCCTCCCCCACTCAGAAAACTCTGAGATACTTAAACTCCCCCATTTAAGCACCACTACCCCTCAACCGCCTGCATCCAGTCAGCCAATTTCCCCAAACCACCCAAATTTGCACCATTTAGCATGTTCTCCTCCACCACCACCCCTCCTCAGCTCCACACGCTCCCTCATTTCCCCCTCTCACTTACATCTGACCAGGTGAGGAGAGAACTGAGGCGGTTTAGGAGCAGGAAAGCTGGAGGACCTGACGGGATCAGCCCCAGACTACTCAAACACCGTGCTGACCAGCTTTGTGAAGTGGTCCTGCACACGTTCAACCTGAGCCTTCATCTTGAGCAGGTCCCCAACCTGGAGAATTCAATTCAAGTTTATTTATATAGCACCAAATCATGACAAGAGTCGCCTCAAGGCACTTCACATAATAAAGATTCCAATTCACAGTTCATTAAGCCAATCAGAAATACTGTGTCCTATATAAGGAACCCAGCAAATTGCATCAGGTCACTGACAAGTGTCAGTGACTATACAGCAATCCTCATACTAAGCAAGCATGCAGCGACAGTGGAGAGGAAAACTCCCTTTTAACAGGAAGAAACCTCCAGATGATCCTGGCTCAGTATAAGCAGCCATCCACCACGACTCACTGGGGATCGAGAAGACAGAGCACACACACACACACACACACACACACACACACACACACACACACACACACACACACAAACACACACACACACACACACACACACACACACACACACACACACACACACACACACACACACACACACAATAATGTGTCTATAGTTCTATTGTGATGTATTAGTAAACGTTCTATTTGGTGAGATAAACTTTATTGTATTTATCCTAGTGAATCTATAATTAAATGGGTAAGCTAGCAGTAACACGTTCAACATCAAGGAAAGCAAAAAGTTATTATCAGGAGAGGGAGAATGTTTAAGTGGTTAGCAGCAGTGTGCTAGACGATGGCCCCCTCCATGAGGCCACCACAGCTCAGCAGAACATCATTGTAGCTTCTTCTGGGGAGAAAAACACTTAGTGAAAAACTAAAGTTAACAGCTGAAATTGCAGAAAGTAATGCAGTTAAAGAGCAGATTGTAGAAGAAAGTAGTAGAGTGTGAAAAGTGGTCAGTGTGTCCTCCAGCAGTCTAAGCCTATAGCAGCATAACTACAGAGATAACTCTGGATAATCTATCCTATTTAGATGTAGGCATGTTGGAGGCAGGGCAAGGGAGAGCCGTCTTTACCGACTGTACACTCCACCTCCCTCTACTCCCCCACTTGTCCTGATTTAGGCTAACAGATTTTAACTACAGGCCCTATCAAATAAAAATGTTTTAAGCCTAGTCTTAAAAGTAGACAAAGTGTCTGCCTCACGGACTAAGGCTGGGAGCTGGTTCCACAGGAAAGAAGCCTGATAACTAAAAGATCTGCCTCCCATCCTATTTTTAGATATTCTTGGAACCACCAGTAAACCTGCAGTCTGAGAGCGAAGTGCTCGGTTAGGAACGTATGGAACAATCAGATCACTGATGTATGATGGAGCTTGGTTATTAAGAGCTGTATATGTGAGAAGAAGGATCTTAAAATCTATTCTGAATTTAACAGGTAGCCAATGTAGGGAAGCTAAGACAGGAGAGATATGATCTCTCTTTTTAATTCTCATCAGAACTCTAGCTGCAGCATTTTGGACAAGCTGAAGACTTTTAACTACATTCTGTGGACTTCCTGAGAGTAATGAATTACAGTAATCCAGTCTTGATGTAGTAAATGCATGAACTAGTTTTTCAGCATCACTCCTGGAAAGTATGCTTCTAATCTTAGCAATATTCCGAAGGTGGAAAAAGGAAATCCGACAAACTTGTGAAACCTGGGATTTGAATGACATGTCCTGGTCAAAGCTAACACCAAGGTTCCTTGCTTTGTTCTCGGAGATTAATGTAATGCCATTAAGGTCAGGCGATTGGCTAAGCAATTTCTTTTTCTGGATTTCTGGTCCAAAGATGAGAACTTCCGTCTTGTCTTGATTTAAAAGCAAGAAGTTTAGAGTCATCCAATTTTTTATGTCCTCAAGACAAGCCAGTAATCTACCCAACCGATTAGGTTCATCAGGGTTAATGAGGAAAATAGAGAAACAAGTATCACTACTGAAAGGTGAGGAGATGAGTGAAATCAGGACAGGCAGCGAGATTTGGACACATTTTAACTTCAGCGATAATTAAAAGGCTGAGTGTGGATTATGCAAAGGGTCCAACGGGCTCTAAGGGTTAAAAGTTGAAAAATGTTTAACTTGCAGTTTTTTTCTCTTCTAAAATAGGTTTTTGTAGTACTTTGCTTCATGTTCAATAAAATAAGTGATTCAAAAAATAAATATTTGATATAATGCATTTTGTAGATTAGTAATTCAATTTTAACACAGTTTTCATGTAATAAGTTCATTTAAGAAAGAAAAAATACGAAGAGTCGTTTGAGAGCTGAAAGCGCTCGCTCGTTTTAATGAGTCGAGCCGTACGAACCGGTTCTCTTAAAAGAGCCGGAGTTCCCATCACTAAAAGCAGGTAAACAGCATCCCCTAGGACAACTATCCACTCCAAAAAGTGCAATTTTTGGCCAGCAGAAAGCTGGTGTCAAATATAAAACTGGTCAATTTTCTAACCCAACAGTCACTGAAATCTATTAAAGCTCTAGCTTTAACCAGTCTTGGGTTTGGGGTGGTGGTGTCATAAATAACTGCCTTCTTAAAACTTTCCCAACCCTCAAAAATATCACAGTGGTGAATGTAAACATTATTTAAGCGCTATTCATCCCACCGCTAAAGGGTTAATCCAGTTCCAACTCATCTCGATGGAGCTGCTGAGACTTTGGGTCATTCTCTGTTCTCCCGCTGATGCAACAAACCCTTGCATCCATGCTTTCGTTCTTTTTTAAACACAGAAACAGTTTTGTTTACCTGTTTGTAGCTACGGTTTCGCCGACAGCTGCCGGCTTCTTCAGGCTGACGCTGATGGTGGCGCGTCACTTCCTTCTCCATTTATCTGCGGGCAGCAGAGGACGTTGTCGCCCTCTACTGCCCGCTGTCCCCTCTCCGACGATGCAGTCCCATGCGTGGTCCAGCGTGTAAACTCCGTCGTCCCTGTTCATGGTCCCACATCCACGTCTCCTTATCTCTATTGCTTCCTTGATCCATCTTTTGTATTTTTGTTGTTCAGTGGTTATGATCCGTGTGCTGTCCCAGTCCATTATATGGTTTTCTCTTAAGCAATGATCTGTTACGGCTGACTTTTTTATTGTACTTTCTGCTTCTTCTTTTGCTGCTCTTGTGTGTTTACGATTTGCCTCTTTCTCGCACTCCTTTCTGTGTTCTATTGTCCGTGTATTGAGTTGGCGTCCGGTTTCTCCTATGTATGTTTTATTGCATATTTTGCATGGGATTTCGTAGATGACTCCACATTTTTGTCCAGCTGATATTTTGTCTTTTGGGTGTACTAATCTGTTTCTAACTGTTGTGTATGGCTTTGTTGGTGTGTTTATGTTGTGTTTTTTCATTGTTGCTCTTATTTTTTCCGTTATGCCTCTGATGTATGGTAGGGTTATCACTGGTTTTGGTTCTTGTCTTTCTGGGTTTCTGGTTCTTTTTTTGGGTTGTTCTTTGCTTTCTGTTTTTGTTTGTTGTTTTCCTTTGTTTATTGCCCATGTCGGGTATCTGCAGGTCTTTAAAGCGTGTTGTATGTGTTTGTCCTCTTGTTTACGGTCTCTCTCTTCTGTTATTATGTTTGCTCGGTGATATAATGTTCTGATTACTGACATTTTGTGTATGGTGGGGTGTTCTGATGTCCATAATAAATATTGGTCTGTGTGTGTTGGTTTCCTGTATGTGTTTATGTTTAGGGTCCCGTCGGTCTGCCTGGTGATTTTCATGTCCATAAATGCTATGCTGCCTTCTGTTTCTAACTCATAAGTGAATTTTATGTTGCCCGTGTCGTCAATATTGTTTAAGTGTTGTGTTAGTGTTTCTGTTTGACCTTTTGGTATGATTTCCAGTATGTGGTCTACGTAGCGTTTCCATAGTTTTATTTTGCAGTTTGGGGGGGCGGTGGCTATGGCTTTTTGTTCCAGGTCTTCCATGAAAAACTCGCACAGGGTGGCTGATAACGGGTTACCCATGGCGAAGCCTTCCAGTTGTTTGTATATTGTGTTGTCGTATGTGAAGTAAGTGGAGTTAGCTACCAGTCCTATCAGTTGTGCTATGTCATCTGCTGTGAGGTTTGTCCATTTATGTAAAGTTTTATCCTGTCTGATTCTGTTAACTACTATGTCTATGGTTTTTTGGGTTGGTGTTTTTGTGAACAGAGATGTGACGTCATGTGAGATGAGTATGTCGTTGTCTTCTATTGTAATTTCCTTTAGTTCTTTTGCCAATTCTATGCTATTTTTGCAGTGTTGGTCTGTATTTCCTAATAACGGGCTGATGATTCTGCTGATATCTTTTGCCATGTTGTATGTTGGTGTACCTATGCTGTCAACTATTGGTCTAAGTGGGGTGTTTTGTTTATGTATTTTTGGTGTTCCATA